AAACAAACAAACAAGCAAAAAAACCCCGGGTACTATTAGCTCTTATGATTAATTGCTGTACAGTGCACGTGTGTATGCAAAATTGACACTGAGGTTGTACCTAGTTCTTTATTTGTCTTTATTTAAAAGCTTCATCTGTGTAMAGGAGTGGAAGGAAAAATTACACATACACCAAGAAATGTGTTTTTATTTTTAAGAAGTATGAGAGAGAAAATGTTTAAAAAATCTCAAGAAAAAAAAAGCCAAATTAAATTATGCAATCTTTCTTTTCTTTTTTTTTTTTCTTTTACTATGCAAAGGGTAATAGTAAGAATAATTTATATTAACACTCTATTTTATTTTTTTTTAAACAATTGTCTATTTATTATATGTTCCACCTGTTCTTACACAACAGGAAGAAGATGAGGCTTCTTTTACTTCTGATAATTTGCCAGTGTGCCATAAAGAGTGTSAAAACACACAGTGTTTCAAATCCCAATATAATTTTACTGATGGCTGATGATCTTGGTATTGGAGACCTGGGATGTTATGGGAACAGAACCTTAAGGTAGGATAATAATTTGGCAGAGTCATAGCTTTGTATTTAGTTTTTCAATGAATTTGTAAAGTTAAAAATGCCAGAAGGTTCAGAGATTTGATTAGGTTTTTATGAGTAACCAAAGTTAATGACTTTTCCAGAGATTAGAATATTCAATCTTTTTTTTTTTTTTTTTTTTTTTTTTTTTTTTTTTTTTTTTTTTTTTTTTTTTTTTTTTTTTTTTTTGACCAAAGATTTAGCTAGTGGATTTATCCTGCTGAGAAGTTGCATTATAAACACAGGATTGAGTAACCAACCAAATAAGGGTAGCTCTAGAGAACTAAAGTACAATCAACAATTTTCTTCTAAAATATACATGACACAAGTAATATGAATTAAACATATTTTAAAGCACTCATGACTTGGGACAGGCTTGTTGTTRATTAATTGGAAGTAAAGAGTGCTTTTTTTTCGTTAATTTAGCTTTATGCAGTAGTCAATATATTAGTTAAAACAAATGTTAATATATTTGAATAATGCATCAGTGYGCCCCAGGATGTTTCTTGCTAACAGCTTAGATGTCATGGTTCTGTAAACAGAGCAAGTGATATCTAGCCATTGTGTTTCAGTGGTGCAAAGTCTTTGGCAAAGTTAAAATAAAACATTCAGACTAAAAGCATTGCTCTGTCAAATGTTAAATGATCTTGTTCCTGCTGATGTTAGTTAGGAGTAAATTTTTCTCATAACTCAAATGAAAAAAAAAAAAACAAGTTACACCTTCTGATTTTAAACAGGTAAAAATACATAGAACACAGATGCTTGGATCATTACCCTCACAGGCACCAGAATGACTCCAAGATCCGCATTCTCTGCTGTGACAATTCWGAATTACATTGTTGGCATGTGAAGGATTTTCATCTTACTGATTGTTATCAGTAGGTGACGTTACAGATAGAAAATAAGYCCATTGCTAAATTAATGTTTCTGACTATTCAGACTTAGGTGATGGGAGCACTCGTGTGCCCTGAGGTCACGGTGATTAATCTCCAGGGTCAGAGAGTTACTGAAGCGTGCTGCAGCTCCTGGCCAGTCTGCATTAGTRAACTTATCTCTGGACCCAAGGACACAGGATGTCTTCCTGCGGGAGCCAATTTTAATCTGCATGATGAGCCAGGTCACAGACAAGTTTCCCATGCAGATATGGAAGCTTGGTTGTGCCCTCAGTCTAATATTGCAGACATAATCACRTCAGACATGTAGATATTGTTAATATTGAGCACAGCACAGTCATAATCATCTGAATCTCTTCTAATAGCTGATAGCACCACACAACATTATCCCTACCCCGGAAAGCTTTTGCTGGGGAGAGACGGAAGAGACACCAAGTAGGGAATAAGGAAGCACAGCCTTTCTCCAGTCTCTCTTCCCCTCACTACTGAAGCAGAAAGGTTGCAAAATTACAGTTCTGGTCAAGGAACATGTTAAAAAGGGTTGCAATACTATATGTCCAGATGTTGCAGTTTAGCACAGGCCATGAAGAATAGATGGAAGTGGGGAAAAAGTTTTTTACCACGATGTCACAGTGTCTCAGTTCGGTGTTGACACCTGACATAAAAATATTTGATGTGATAGTATTTGGTATTGCACCCCCAGCATGGTTTTGATAATTTACATACAGTACATTTTAACTGGATTTTCCTGGTAGTCCTTGCTTCAGATGCCTTGATCTTACCATGACTATATCTAAATTTTCATCTTTGTGTATTTTTTTTGTCTGCTTGTGTTTTTCTAGAACTCCTAATATTGACAGGCTAGCAGAGGAAGGAGTGACACTCACCCAGCATATAGCAGCATCCCCACTTTGTACACCAAGCAGGGCAGCTTTCCTGACAGGGAGATATCCTATAAGATCAGGTAAAATCCCATTACTTTATTTATCTATAAATATAATATTTTATTTGCAGTAAATGGTTTGCAGGTTTTTTGTCTGGCCTTTCTTKATTTGTTTATCATTGCCAGGTAAAATAATGATAAATAATCAGTCCTTTCAGTGACTGATCAAGTTCATCAGAGTTGGTCTATATTTGAAATGTTTCATATATATGGGAAATTTTCACATTTCAAGAGTTGACACAAAGATAAAGCTTTTTTTAATGAGTATTTTTTTTTTGTTTAAATACTGACAAAATAACCTGACTGTGGTTATTTAATGTCAACCATTGGGCTCCATCAGGCACAGCATTGCCAGCCAGGCGAAGGAGGGAATTGTCCTGAGCTGTTCTGTGCTAAGGCGGCCTTACCCTGAGTGCTGTATGTAGTTTGGGTGCCACAATAAAAGGAAGACTTTAAATTATTAGAGAGTGTCCAAAGGAGGGCAACAAAGATGGTGAAGGGCCTTGAGRGGAGGCTGTGAGGAGCAGCTGAGGGCACTGAGTCTGTTCAGCCTGGAGGAGACTGAGGGAGACCCCACTGCAGTCACAGCTTCATTGTGAGGGGAAGAGGAGGGGCAGGCACTGATCTCTGCTCTCTGGTGATCAGTGACAGGACCCGAGGGAATGGTCTGCAGTTCTGTCAGGGGAAGTTTAGTTTGSATTTTAGGGAAGGGTTCTTCCCCCAGAGGGTGGTTGGGCCCTGGAACAGGCTCCCCAAGGAAGTGGTCACAGTGCCAAACTTGACAAAGTTCAGGARGTGTTTGGACAGTACTCTTGGGCATGTGGTGTTGACTCTTGGGAATGGTCCTGTGCAGGGCCAGGAGCTGGACTTTGCTGATCCTTGTAGGTCCCGTCCAACTCARCATATCCTGTGATTCTCTGTGGTTCTGTGAACTTCCTCTGCTATTCAATGACCCCAGGCTCTTTGCCTGCCTCCAGAGTTGCATTCAGGTTGCTCCCGTTATATTGGTGGACCGCCCTAGTGTTGAACGTCATAGAAGTTCTAGAAAACTTAGTGGAAGTGACCTAAAAAGACTCAGTGGGAGAGTGCAGTGTAAATACTTCTGCTCAGACATTCCTATTTCTGCAAAAACATTTCTGTTTTAGACAAATTGTTGGGTTTATGGTTTTGGTTTTCTCATTTTTGTGGGGTAAGGTTGGTGGGGGCAAAATAGTTCAYGAAGGTATTCAAGTTTCCCTTAAAACTGGGAAAAAAGAGAGAAAAAAMCTGTCATCTATTTTAAGTGCTTTTGTTCCATATCTACCCATACACAGTATTAAGTATCCTGTGAATACATGCATTTAATTTTTCTTAAATGTACCTGATCCAAAGCCTATTTGAGTCAAAGGAGATCAAGTCTGTTTATTTTGGTGTGCTGGGACTGAGACTTTCAGTGCTTAGCATGCAACTTTAACATTCCCTTAACATAATTTTTAGCAAGGATCATTATACATTAATCAGATCACTTGTTCATTAGTGATAAAACATCCTGTCCTTGCTTCTGGGAATGAAAGCAAAGCAAGACTCTGGAGCCTACTTGAGCCTTCGTGCTCATTCAAATCAAGTAACAAGCTTCTGCAAAAGTGCCAGCTAATATAACTTGCTAAATTTTCCATTACATTCATCTGCAAAGGAAAATTTTATATACCTGTTACAGATATATTGCTATTAATATTTATTGTAGGTAAAGTCACAGGTCACTTTCCATTATGATCCTTTCTCTTATTTCTGAAAAATTAATACTTGAACTATTTTTTGTCTTCACCAATCAGCTCTTAGACATACCTAATCATTTCCATGCAGGTAGAAAAACTGAACTTTGTCTTCCTTAAATTACAAAATTTCTAAATATGGATTGCTTCCAAATATCAGTGAAGAASTAGTAAAGGATTATTATAGAAGACACTAGAATCATGATATGGAAAAGATGTTAGAAACCTAAAACTCCTGCTAATGGAGCTGAAAAAAAAGATTCCAAAGTGCAGTATTGGATGAGACAAAATCTCAGACAAAGGTAATGATGAAAAAAATAATCTGTACTTCTGCACTTTCATTCTGATAACTTAAAATAATTACACTGATTTCAGTTGCAAGAGCTTGAAGTACATAAAAATAAATATAAATAAATAAAATGCAGATAAATATAGGACTAAAACTATCTGAAGGGTTGATCAGCAAAACTATCTGGGGTGAGCACTGAAGTCAGCATTTGAACAGTAGGTTGAACTCTAATAAACCAGTCTAACAAGTCTTTTTCTCATGTAACCACAAGGCATACCTGAGGGAGAATTCTGGTTATCTACATCAGTCATGTAACTTGGGCACTGTAATCATCCAGTTGCATAATTTAGACTTCCTGAAGATACATCTGCACAGATTTGCATAGATGTTCTCTGTTCTTACTGTCTGTTTTCAGTGCCAGCTCTCATCTGGAATCCTAGTAATCTAATTTTCATGAGCCTGAGCTGTCAAGTTCCTCATCCTGAGAGCAGTTTATAAGCTCATTTGTGTTCCTCAGACTCTTAGTATGTAGAAATTACTGTGCCTTATTTAGATGTTGTCTTGTTAGCTGGTACCTGATGCYCCTTCAGTGCACTCACACTCGATGTGTCTTTGTGCTGCTGGAGCACTGGTCCTTCCCCATCAATGCTGACAGCCCAAGCCACTCTATTTACAGACTCAGATTCTCTCGTGCTTTTACTGACCTCATGATATTTACATGCCCAGCTGTAAGACTGCCCTATTTCAATGTGCCTTCTCTCAAAAAAACCGTAAAGGCTTGTGGAAAACTACACATGAGGAAAACCGAAATTCTGAGAGTAGAACTTGGGAATGATCTCACTAAGTCCTCAGCTTCATTTCCTGCCTTCATTTCCTGTACAAGAAAAGTAAACTGTGCAAGCTCAACTTTTTAAACTTTTGCTATACCTTAGAAAATGTACAAGAGGGGCTGCAGTTTATGTAATGGCTGGCCCCATGGTTATAAGCAGAGACTTTTTTTCTCCATGTCTCAGTTTCTGGTGTCAGAAAAGACCTTGCACAGCGAAATAGATGATTGTATCTTCCACTTGCAACATCTAATATCTGATTGTAATATGTAATTTAAGTGATACCACCTGAAGCAAAAAAGTGCATTCAGAACTAATGAATGGAAATTGGTTTTTTTTGTGTTATCCACATCTCACTCATTTTCATTGTATTTAGGAATGGCTGCCTTCTCACGAGTTGGTGTCTTCTTATTTGCTGCCTCTTCTGGGGGACTTCCTTCTGAAGAAATAACTTTCTCCAAACTCCTGAAGCAGAAAGGTTATGCAACAGCTCTAATAGGTAAAATTGCAGACATGTGCAGCATTATTTTCTTTCATTTCAGTGAAAAGAACATTAGCTTACAATATAGGCTATGAAAGGCCTGCATTAAACTTTTCTTCCCCACAGCATAATGAATTTATTTTTCTGGAACAAAGCTGAGCACATTCCCATGCTTATGTGAAACAACAGTCAGGTAAGTATGTCTAATTCATTTATGTAGTTATAGTCTCATTTTGCAAGGTACTGAAGAAACATGATGAACAACCTGGAAATTAGTCAAATTCTTGAAAAGTTTTCAATATAAATAGGAGTTTGATTTCATGAGAGAGACAATGAGGGATTGATCACAGGGTACAAGTCAGCACATTTGTGGTTTTCATTTCACCGGTTTTTCTAATACCGATAAAGTAAATAATGTTGTCGTCTGGCTTCTCTTAGTCATAAATAACAGAAATAGCATTTCTAGGMAATTCTTCATATTCTTTGGTAGGTGTTTAATATAAAAACGTATTTCTCACTATAAAGATACTTGAGATAACTAATTGCAGCATAAATATCCAGTCATGCGCAAAAGGAATCACAGCAGATGAATATTAAATAGAATTGGAATTAATATCATAAAAGTATGACATTAAAGATTTCTGAATTTTTTTTCTTAATTTGGTTACTGACCTATTCCACACTGCATATATTTTAGAAGATTCTTGTGAAATTCAACTTGTATTATAATATATATCAACTTGTATCATAATATATTTCTGTATTGGAATTGCCAGGGAATAGTTTTATAGAGAACATCATACTGAAATATTACTAAATTATTTTAGATGAAGGATGCACCCAATTTGAGTTYTAAATGACACAGAAGCTTGAAATTTTGGGAGTAATTTTTGTTAMAACACCCAGTTTGTTTAGCAAGGCTTGCTTTTTACACCACTGTTCAAAAATAGGTAAACCAGTGTCAGTATTCCTAACTAAAAATCCTACTAAGCTATACCCSAGTCTTATAAAGCATAAAATACCATGATGTCCTGACAGAATCAAAATAGAAAACCAAAAATTCTTATCAAAAGTTTATTTAGTGTAGGTGCATTAGAACCATAGTGCAAAAAAGCCGGTCATAATTTGTTATGTTCCTCATGGACTTAATTCCGATTGCTCCATATTCAATTGAAGACTGTTTTTTTTCTGTTTGTAACAAGCACGGTAATACAACTCATTTTCTGGGGCTGACCTAGTTAATGTTCTTTTTTTAACTACTTTCACTGCAACATGACAGCTTGCCACTTAGATCTCCAGAAGTTATCTCCATGGTGCTTAATGAACAGTTCTTCCAAGTGGCCTGAATGATAGCTATGAGACCATAAAATGTAGTATTACCATATCCTTAGAGTATCACGAAGGTTTCCAAAATCAAGAAGTGCATTAAAATTAGAGATAAAGCAATGTAAATGTCAGAAAGAAAAAKTATGTAGATTTGAAGACTAGATAGGCAGTCTGATTTTCAACCAGTGTATTTTCTGCTTTTGCTGGTATTCTTATCACATCATATTGACCTAGGTCAGGAAGTCTTTGYATGGTTCAGTCTAACTCAGCAGTTCCCAAGCAATTAATTGTCAAATCCTGCACCAGTGATGGATCGGCATAAGGGTAATTTGAAGCCTTTCAGTTCCTCAAGCCGTAGTGTCATTTTTATTATTTTTTGCCAATCTCCTCTCTAAGGACATTATTTTTCTTCCCTAAGTGCATTTTTGTTCCTTTTAAATTTTTTTTCCTCTGAATATATGCTTCCTTTTGTTTGATATGTCCCAAAATATATTTCAGCTATGAATCTATTTTATGTATACACTTTTCTACCTCATTGTTTTCCCCTGTGGCATAAAAAAGGTGACAACCAATAGATCTGGCAAGAAAACACACAATCAGATCTGCAACAAAACCAAGTTTTATCAGAAAAAGCAGATGCATAGAATGTGTAATATTTCACTAGYAGGAAGAAATGCTGAGGTTTTGTTGGAAATAGCTATTCATAATGCAAAAATTCCATTTAAATTTGATATATATTATTTTAACTACTGTTATACTATATAAATTACAGTATTTGAATAAAGGTTAATTTTTCCTCAYTGTGGCTATGCAGTGTGGTGTGGGCATCCGTAGAAGTTTAAAATCCACCGATGTAGCTTGTCTCCAAAGTTGAAATACTAATTGATTACTGGCACTTATTTCCTCCAGAATGAAGTATTGTAATGTTTGGACACATCACAGTGGTAAGGTGTCAAGATTGACTGAGTTTATGGAGTGAGGTTATTACAACAATAGTTCATAAAACAGCTTAAAATCTGRCCATTGTAATACTGTATGCACATACAATTTTTACAATTTTTGCTTTGTACTTCAAATAAACATATTTCCTTAAGAAGATAAAACATTTCTGTTTGCATCTTGCTCCTCATCTTGCATCTTGCCAGTTATCTGAAAAGCACAAAATCTTTACAAAAGAAATATATCATTATATACAATGCAGTCTTCAGATTGCTCCCTTTTCCACTATCAGGGGGAAAAATAGAGGGGAAACATGGATTTCTGTAGTGTCCTCAGGATTCAGGTTTCTGAAAAATGGAGTTTCAAATGAAGTTTCTTGGCTGAATAGAATATGCCTCTCATTTCCACTTGCCTTTCAATGCATTGCTTTCACTCTGCAGAAATCATAATTGTGGCTGACGGAGAGGGAAAAAAGCCTAGGTCTCAAATTATTGTGGTACTCMTAATTTACAATTAACAGCATAAATTTCACTCAAAAGCTTTGTAGAATCTACCAAAATGCTTATGATGCTTGTGTGAAGTGTCCATTCTGTGAAGTATCACTTGGCAAAGAGATGAGAGCATTTTGCACWGCTCTCAGATTCAGAAGGGCCCCAGAATCTAAAGCACATTACAGTAATCTGTTCAAGCACTAGCTCAAGGCAGGGGTTATTGTCACAAGCAATGAAACAAAACATGTATTGTGGACCCAGTCATCACTTGCTTTCTCAGAGTGGTGCAGGATCTATCAAAACCTTCTACCTCATCAGCCATTTGAGAATGGCAATTGTGTCATTCCGTCACAGCTGCCGATATAATTTGAACCAGGGCTTCTGTTGCTTTTTCTGCTAACCTGCTCTCTCCTTTGTTTGGCTTAAGTTGCTTCTCAACAAATCTTTTTCTGAGGCCCAAGTTCATCTTGACATTGAACAATTTGTTGTGCTTGCTGAAGCCCTTTTGATAAAAATAGGACCTATATTTTCTCCTGTCCTAATTTGTTATTGCAAGATTTTTCTATCCTGGCTTGTAGTTGAGATCCAGTTTAAAAAAAAGAACAACTCTATATCCTAATAAATGACCTTGAAGGCATACTTAATTTGTTTGAWTTTTTTTTTCCTATTTTCTTACTGAATTATAGGTGTTTCGAGATTAACATATAACATAAAAAGAAATTAAAGGCTACATTTGGATCAGTTATCTAACTTCATAAGAGTTGTTTCATGTTCACTTTGCTACACATCTGGCTTTATGATTATTCCACTAAGAAAGTTGTCTAAACCTAAGAGAAAAAATGAAGCATTTGTTTTCAAAAATCAGAGTTGTTCTATGCTGGAATGAAAATCAGAGTTCTAGCCTTACTTAGCACTTTGATACACCATTATAACTTCTGAAATTTCAGTACAACAGTGTGCACTGCGGTTTTCTTAATTGACCACAATAATTTTCACTGGACCATGTCAAAAGTAGTGACAAGAACCATTCTGCTCACAAAAAGCAGAACACTACCTCAGGTGAGAGGTCATCTGACAGGGAAAATTTCTGATGGAATGACAAAGRTGTAGAGGCCTTCATTTCACGGGCCATAAGCAGCCCTGAAAATGTATTATACCTTCTTGAATGTTATATGAAAATTATTTCTAACTTAAGACCATCAAGAGATGTATGAGGAGAAATGGACTCAACTGAGCCTTCAGACTCAAGATTTCTGTGTTATTTTTATTTCACCTTTGCTGACAGATGAACTTAGGCATATGACATTCCCATCCTATGCTTTAGTTCTGTTATTTATGGAAGAGAAATAACAATGCCTGGCTCATTTGCTAGGTACTATTTTAAAAAAGGAGAATTGATCACCATGTTCACCCTCTTTGGTACTGCAGTACCTGCATTTGTAACTGCCAAAGGAAGAAGTGCAGGATGAATATGCTGTTCTGCAGAACCAGGAGGAGACATTCAGGACTGTTTGTGTCAGAACTTTTTCTTATGGAGGTGTAAAAGCTCATCTAGAAAAGGGGAAAATTTTATATATGCTGTTTTTCCTGTTTTACACTCTCTGCCATGTGTATCCTGAAGTCTCTAGAACAAATATTTCAAATTTCTTTGARCTAAGTTATGGGAAGGAAAACTTACTGGGTTTGCAGATTTTCTTGTTTATTTCTTTTATGATCACAGCTCCTGAATTATGCTGGTCATGTTCAGGTGTTTGATTCAGAAAAATAAATAAAGTTTGGCCCAGCAATATATGTCATCTGTTTTGTCAGGGCCAGCATGCTTTTTTTTTAAATAATCAACACATTTTCTTGCTGAGAGCAAAG